GGCAGACTTGAATAAATAATAAATAATATCCCGAGGCTCCCTCTGTGCAGATGATGCTAGTGTGTTAAGTTGGTAAAAAATTAGCCACAAGAACAAACCTAAAATCCAGACAGAACAGGGGTTCATACATTTATGTATTTATTTTCTGAGACAAGGCTTCTTTGTGTAATAGCCCTGGCTGTCCTTGAACTTGCTCAGTAGACCATGCTGGTCTTGAATTTATGATCCTCCTACCTGTGTCTCTTGAGCACTGAGATTAAAGGCAAGTGCCACGACCACCCGGCAGGGCTTTGTACATTAAAGGGAATGTATAATCATCTTCCTGGTGGATTGTATAATCACCCTAGTGAATCTAAACACTTAAAAAAAAAATCAGACAAATTCTCTGCAGTCTCATGTAGAATGCAGTGGCAGAGGGAATGCTTGCTTTAAAAGAAAAAAAATTATGTCTGAGTATTTTGCCTGCACATATGTATGTGCACCTTATGCCTCCCTATTATCTGCAAAGGCATCAGGTCCTCCAGCTGGAATTAGAGGTGGTTGTGAGCCAATATGTGGGTGCTGAGAACTTAATTGGGATCTGTGCACTAGCAGTAAGTGTTCTTAACCACTAAGCCGTCTCTCCAACCATTAGAGTCTGCTTTCTAATGTATTCTACCAAATACAGTATGAGATAATAAATAGTGCTTCTCATAAATGGCAGTGTGAAAGTCCTTAACAAACACCTGCCAAGTAAAACCTAAAGATGTATTTTAAAAACTACACAATTAGGCAGGACTTAGTCTTGCTCTACAGGGCTAGTTGTACATCTAAGATCACCTCAGTCCAAGTAAGAAAAATCATGGTCATATTGATAGATCCAGGAAAAATACAACAAAGTTCAACACCAATTCATTCATGATAAAAATGAAACAAACTAGGAATGAAGAGAAACTTTATAGATTAAAAGAAAAGGAAAAATATATCCCAAATCTACCTAGTATAGTAAGGGAGAACATACTTTCTCTCTGAGATAGAATGAGGCAAAAATGATCCCCCCCCCCCTTTTCCATCCTACTTTGTATTGTTCCATTAATATAATAGGAAATGCTACTCAGATTGGTAAGAGAGAACCTGTATTCATTTGCAAATGGCACATCTATATAGAAAGCCTAGTAACTAGAGGCAAGTATGTTGGTTACAATATATAAACAAGTCAGTTCATACTAACAAGAACATTTTGAATAGAAATTAATGGTTTGAATTACCTTAAAAAAAGTTTTAAGTCTAGTGAAGTATAAGATTTATGTCAGGAAAAGACTAAAACTAATGACAAATCAAAGATAGATGGAACAGGAGAGCTGGTCCATAGTCACTGATATGGAGACCCAATCTGTACTCCACTCTGATTTGGTAAATTCATTGCAATTACGATAATCCCAGCAATTTATATTTTGGACATCAACATGAAAACAAAGTTCAGAATAGTCGTAATTATTTCTTTTAGACCACAAGGTCAAAGTTGGTACTCCAGAATTTAACTACATTCTCCCATAATGAAGAATGACACTGGCAGAAATAAACCAACATAGATATGGTTAACAGATCTCACAAAAAGAGAAAGAGCCTTTGATGAGCCTTCCTAACCAGCAGAGAGAAATGATTGGGGGGGGGGCATGTGAGGAGAGAAAAGAAAAACTAGGCAAATAATTGAAAAGTTTATAGTAATGTCTTCAAAGAGTATACAAATAACCAGATGGAGGAAGGAAATCCATTCAGGACCCTGAAAAGAGTCGGCAACACAGATGAGAAAGTAAGCAAAATGGATGAGAAATTCAGCAAGAGAATTGTTTCTTGTTTGTTTTGAGTTTATGTAGCCATGGATGTCCTGGAACTCATTATGTAGACCAAACTGATTTCAAACTCACAGAGACCCACTTGCCTCTGCTTCCCAAGTACTGGGATTAAAGACAAGCTTAAAAAAAAAAAAAATCAAAAGCATAACACATCTTCTTAGACAAGAGACCAAATCTAAGAATCCATGAGGTACAAGGATGTGAAATAACTAAACACAGAGAATGTACTTAATGAAATTAGAGAAGAAAAATGTTCAATGCTACAAAAAGAATCCAAATGCAAGGGACATTTAGAAAATTTAGAAATCCTAATCAGCATGATCAGACATAATGAACTTCATTATATAGTGTATAAAAGTACAAGAGATCATTAAAAGAAGTAAAAGTGGCGAGTCACAAAGGCAAACATACCTAATAACATCAGATCTCTCAAAAGAAACCCTGAATGTCAGAAAAGCATGGGATGTTAAGAGTTCAAGTTCTGGAGGTAAATAATCACCAACCTATCACCTATCACAACTATCTTTTAAAAACATGGAGAAATAAGGCCATTTCAAACAAGCACAAATTATTGCAATTCATGACCACAAGCCAGCACTATATAGAGTATATTATATAGAGTACACTATTTAGAGAATCCTAGACACAGAGGGAAAAAAGATAGGCTCAACCAAGAGAATACAGTAGAGAATAAATTTCTTGAGAGGAATACCTGAGCAAAGAACTAAGGGACAACCCAATGTGTCCAACACAATTAATAAGCAAATTCATGAAGAAAAGGATGAGTATTCAACCAATCAGAAAACCACCAACAAAACTGGTAGGAATTTTCTCAGTAACAGCCTGAATTTCTGGGCCTGGTGATGCCTGTAGTCTACGTACTCAAGAAGCTGAGGAAGTCATAACTTTGAGGCTAGCTTGGACTACTTAGTGAGTTCCAGATCAGCCTTAGCACCAGAATGAGAACCTTGACTCAAAAGAAAAAGAAAAAAAAAGTAATGACTAAAAAAAGATCACCTAAATTATCTTCAACTTTCAATTCAAAGAAGCATATTAGTTGAGATTATTAAAAAAACAAGACCCTAAAAAAAAAAAAAAAAAAAAACAAGACCCAACTGTGTCTTGCCTCCAAGAAACATACCTGTCTGGCATAACTCAATTTACCAAGTGAACAGAAGCCAACATGGCTATTCTGATAACGGAAAAAATAGATGTTAAACCAAAACTAGAAGAGAGGAAGTCACTACATACTAGTAAAAAGAACCCACTGAATCACCTGTAACAATCATGGACACCATATGCACTTAAGTTTGAATGGAACTCTCAGTTTCTTAGAACAAACACCAATGGACTTAAAAAGATCAGATTCTGATATAATAATCTTGGGTGACTTGAATATCTCGCTGTCATCAGTAGGTAGGTCACATGGACTAAAACTCGATAAAGAAACTTCTAGATGAAACAGACTTAACAGACTTCTACAAAATACTGCATCTGTATACTTTTCTCGTTGCTGTAACTAGATCCTTGACAAGAGGTACTTAAGAGTGGAAGGGTTTATTTCGGTTTATAGGTTGAGGATTTGCAGCCCCATTCAGAGAAGGAACATGGCACAGAGTGAAGGAAGAGGCTGATCACATTGTATCCACATCCAGGAAGCCAAGAAAGATCAATGCTGGCGTCTTTCACTTACCCAAGGCCTCCAGCCCAAGGGGTGGTGCTGCCCATATTCAGTTAACCTTTTCAAAACACAGACAGCATAGGTGTGTTTCCATTGTGATTCTTACACCCGACTGTCAAATTAACAATATTACATTAAACATTACACCCTCCAACAGCTAGAGAGTACACATTCTCAGCAACCCATAGCCCTTTCTCTAAAATAGCTCATAGTTTAGGCCATAAAGCACGTCTCCGCAAAAAAAAAAAACAAACAAACAAACAAACAAAAAAAACAAATAATTCTTTGTATGTTATCAGATTGAAGCATTTACACCAACACAGCCATAGTCTGAGGGGTACTCCCACGGACTTCACTTGAACTATCGCGCACTCCCAAGTTTCTAGTCAGTGATTAGCCGTACTTCTAATATTTCTGAACCCAGGGTCCATAATCTTTTCTCCCCCTCTCTCAACACACACACACACACACATACACACGCGCGCACACACACGGGTGTGCGCAGCATGTATGCCAGGTACTACCCTAGGCAGTCAACCAACATTAACTAATTGAGTTCTTGTATCTACTCAGAAGCGACTTCCCCCTAGTATTTTACGGGGGAAAAGCTGAAGCAGAAGAACCCTGAGAGGTTAAACACAGGCGCATCACGCTTTTCCGGATGTTGGCTTCAACTCCGCACTTCACCTGCAACAACAGCCCTGGAAGCGTCTTTGCCGCCCCTGAGCAAGGCTAAGCAGGCAGGTGAGCTGGGAAGAGGCCGTCCGCAGTATCCAATGAAGCCGGAGGAGTTGGAGGCAACCCTGGACAGAAGAATGGGGTCATCGGGTGGATCCCAAGTGCAAACTGGAGAAAGGCGGGCTGCTTTGAAGAATGGCGGGACTTCAGAGATTCTGAAAATGAAGCACCGACAGGGGCGGGGCTTAGGACGAGGGCATTCTAGATGAGAAAGAATACCTGGACCCAGGTGTTGGTAGGGGGCCTGTATGGACTTGGGGCTGAACGGTCCCAGGTTCCGGGATGGAGACGGGGCAGGACCAAGGCGGGGTGTGGACGAGCCAGGGTCTCTGGCGGGGCGATCCCGGGGTTCTGGCGGATAAAGAGGGTTGTCTTATGTGTCAGGATGAGTGAGGTGGTCCCGTGTGCTGGGAGGTCTCCCGGGGCGTGTGCCGGCCGGTTCCGGGGTGGAAGTGAACCAGAATGGGGGCGGGCCCGGAAAAGAGGCGTGGCGATCGAGGGGAGGTGGAGAGGCATGGGAATGGGGTGGTCCTGGGCCGGCTGCTAGGTGGTACCGAAGGTGGGCCCGGAGTAAGGGAGGGGCGAAGAGTGCGGGGCGGTCCGGTGCTAAAATGGTGCCTGTGGTGGGGAGGCGGTCCCGAGGGGCGGGTAAGGGTGTTGCCAGGCGGTACCGGGTACGGGCTTGGGGCAAGAACAGTCCCAGGGTTCCAGGCGGTCTCTGGGTCTAAAAGTGCTCGGCTGGGCTGATCCTCGTCCTAAGCAAGGTCCCACTAGCCAACCCCTGGCCGCCACGGGCTTTCCTGCCCGGTACTCGTCATCATGTCCTTTATTCCTGTGGCGGAGGACTCCGACTTTCCCATCCAAAACCTGCCCTATGGCGTTTTCTCCACTCAAAGCCACGTGAGCTTCGGTGCTTGGGCTCGGGCGTGGGGAGGTGGGAGCTCCGGTCAGTTTCTCCCGAGCCTCCGTGGAAGGCGCCTGTGGCTCGAAAGCTGCTCATGACCCACCATATCTGTACACGATGTTGAAATTCAGTCTCAGCTCCCGTGGGGTTGTGCGAGAACGAGGTGCAAAGAAGAATCCTGTAAAGTACCAGCTGACTCCCGTATATTTGAGCAACTCTGAGAATGCAAGCGCCTCCTGGCTTAGAAACTGCGGTCTAAGATACCAGACTCTTTTACCTCTGGGCTAAATTCTTTCTGCTCTAGTGTGAGCTGCTAGGCATTCCCTGAACTGATCACAAGCCCTGTGGGGCAAGAGAAACGAACTTTGACTTGTACTCATAGTCTGATTAGAAAGAAATCTTTGAAAACGGTTTGAGCGGAACTGAGTTATCAGCGAATACATAAGTATTCCTTGGGTGGGAAAAGCACATCCTTCCAAAATGTTTGCGGTATTCTCTGCTTGCTTTTTGCTCACACTGTTGATTCAGCTGTAAGCCATAAAAGCCATAGGAACTTCTTGCACCTAAAAGTAGTCAGAATATCTTTATCAGGATTTTCAGGTAGCATAGGTAGAGTGATTGGCTAGCAAACACCAGCGGAAGGAAGGGAGGGACGGAGGGACAGAGGGACGGAGGGAGGGAGGGAGGGAGGGAGGGAGGGAGGGGGGGAGGAAGGAAGGAAGGAAGGAAGGAAGGAAGGAAGGAAGGAAGGAAGGAAGGAAGGAAGGAAGGAAGGAAGGAAGGGGTTCCTGGCAGTTGATCTCCTTCCCTGCATCTGTTGCTCAGATGGTTGCCCTTTCGTAACCTGCCTGTGCTGAATGCCTTGGTCAGTAGAGTCAACTGGTGATTTCACAACCACTAGGCATGATTAGATGTTGCAAGGACACAAAGTAAATGTGTCGTCCTTTCCACATAGGAGGTGTGTGGAGCCTTAACCTGTGCCAGCCAACCATCTTGTGGAAACAGAATACTCCCTCTGGCCTCCCCTGGTACTTTGCCCTCAGCAGAAATACTCAGCTTTTTCTGGGAACACCCGTGGTTGGTTAGGCAGGAACATTTGTGAGGCAAGCACATCTTCAGTACTTGACTGTGTAGTAAGGAGCTGGGATGTGCTCTCCCAGGGGAATCTGGAGTTACTGTTCTCTTATCTGTGGCTAGAGGCTTTTCAGACGCCATATGCTGCAGTTTCTTTGTCATCATCATTATCATCATCATCATTTTAGTTTTTTGAGACAGGATTTTTCTGTGTAACTCTGCCTGTTCTGGAACTAGATCTGTAAACCATGCTAGCTTCGAACTCAGAGATCTGCCTGCTTCCTGAGTATGGGATTAAAGGAGTGTTGCTATATCCAGCTTCTTCTTTTATTAGTAATACACTTTTAAATTAATTTTTAATTTTAATGTTTTTGAGAATTTCACTTATAAGCACCGCATCTGCATCATTTCTACCCTTCCCACTGTGGTAGCTTGATCCTGGAGGACATTATTAACCTCCCATAGCTCTTTATTTATAGGGTGGGGCCATGTGGAATTTCCCATCAGCATTGGCAGATCAGTGGTGTTGTTGTGCTGGTCTTAAGGCAACTATATTATTGAGAGTTCCTAGGTGCATTTCTCGGGTCATGTCTAGGGGAACAGGCGTGCTAGACCACTGGCTCTTATCTGTTTGTTTGCTTCCTCTTGGGTGATTTTCCTTGAGCCATAAGAGTAGGGATTGCATTGCAGATGTCTCACAGGGTTGGGCACCCATGATGAGTTGTTCTCTGCATTTTGACAACTTGTGGATCTCTGTAATGGTTTCTGTCTATTGAAAAGTGAAGCTTCTTTGATAATGGGTGACAGTTACACTTACCTATGGCTATAAGGATACATATTTAAAACACACTTAAATTATATTGGTTTAGAAAAATGGCAATAGTAGGTTCTCCTCTTGGGACTGTGACCTCTCCAGCCATGGACAGTTGGCTAGGTTTACAGTAACAGGTATGGATTTCCTCTTGTTGATCAGGCCTTAAGACAATTAGACAGCTGTTGGTTACCCTTGGGATATAAATGCCATTATTACCTCATTGTGTATGTCTTGTTATCCTAGTGATTTTTTTGTTGTGGTTCATAGGCTTTAGATCTGAGTAGGACTACTGATTACTCCTCTCCCTTGACAGCTGTTATAATATACTATATAGACCTTGTTCATACATGACTAGGCAGGGAATGCCTTTGATTAGGTCACCGAGCTGACTCAATGATAGAGGTTCCTTCTTGCCTCAGCAAGGTATAAGATGATTGCCCCAGGATCTGTCCTATACATCACCTGAGTAGACCATCACTTGGATCCATGTAGCTCAGCTTTGTGGTCTTTGAAGCAGAGTGGGAAGATTGAATCCCATGGAGATACAGAGCCGAGGACATAAGGGTTCTTCAGCGAAGCTTTTCGGGCTTGTGTGGCCTTGATATCTCCCTATCTCCTAGGAGCTGCCTTGCAGCCCACCGAAAGCAGCAGGTACAGGAGACAGGGTCAGCTAGGAATTCTGCCTCTCAGCTCCCATGAGTTTCCTAGAATGGCAGAACTGCTGACTCAGGTGTCACGGAAGCCTGGCTTAGGACAGACTTCCAGGAGGTGAAGTCTTCCAACATGCTTAGTGTTGTGGGCTCAGAGACCAGCCTTGGCAAAATATTTGGGCCACTGTATTCATCTGAGCTCATGCAGATCTTTTATGGGGGCATAAAAGAAATTCATTCATGTGGTCAGAGCACTGTGGTTTCTGCAACACCCTGCAACCTGAGTTCTGTTGCATTCGAGCTACCACAGAGCTGGTACTCCCAAGTTATTACTTGTGAAAAACTCACTGCTCTGCTCTATGGGAGAATGGCCCTGAGCAAAGCTCTAGGCCCAGTATGAAAAGGAATTTAGGTTATTGGTAAAGTGGTGAACAATTCATCACTAGAGGCATGTAAGCAAAGCTGAGAACTTTGCCTCCATAGGCTATCTGTTCATTTCCCATCAAGAGATGGATCCTGGCCTCCGGTCCTGTCTTTATGAGGGTTGTCCCAAAGGAACCCATGGGTCCCTAAATATTGGGTGTCTGTCAGAACTGATGGTGCCATTCTCTTCCTAGCCAAAACCACGGATTGGTGTGGCTATCGGTGACCAGATCTTGGACCTCAGTGTCATTAAACACCTCTTCACTGGGCCTGTTCTCTCCAAACACCAGCATGTCTTCGATGAGGTAGGACATTGTGTCATGGATTGCTTCATTTTACTGCCTACTACATATAAGTTAGTATTTTTCTTAGCCACAGGGTATCCCTGTATAAGTGTGGGAGCTGTTCTGAGAAATAGGTGACAGAGGAAGTAACCTTGACATTTTGGGGTGGTTTCTCAGTAGAATGTGAGCTCCTGAGTCCAGTGGGTCTTGCCAAGTTGCCGATAAGGTAAGGATATTATGTGACTCTGGCTTCCTTTTATACAGGGTTATTCAGGCTTTGGTCTTTCAAGGCCCAGAAAAACCTTAATAAAAGGGGCCATGAACCTCACATTGTAGATTTGGGATACAACTTGAGACAGTCATCCTGGCCTCCATGTTCATGGGGGATGGTTCCTCAGTCCTTCAAGGGTACAGTCCTAGAGCACCCAGCTTTGCTTGTGTCAATGTAGGATGGCTGCCCTGTCTTCTAGGTGCCTGGGGACAGCCAGCTTGGCCTCCACATCTGTGTGGAATGGGTCTGACTTTCCTCCCTCATCACAGGTCAGCTCTTAGGATTTGCTTTTTGCTGACACACAAGAAGGTATATTACTGAGTACCTCTTTTGTGTGGGAGCATTGCACACATCCTTTCTGTCAGTTCTCCTGGCCACTCTCTGGCACAGAGTCAGTATTGTTACCAGATAAGTGGGACTTTGTGCAGTTTGTGGATTGCTGTCCACATAATAGCTCTTCAGCATCGACTGTGGGCTGTATATCCAGAAGTAGACAGGACATCAAGAATGGTGACCAGCTTTTTCTAGCTCTATGCAGAGACAACAAAAAATGTGAACAAAGTTCCTGACTTTTGAATGCATGGAGAGATGCAAGACTCTGGCAGGAGGGATGGCTCAAGGATTTTCTCAAGCATAATGATCTCTAATCCTGTTTTGGTCTTAGACAACTCTCAACAGCTTTATGGGCCTGGGCCAAACTGCCTGGAAGGAGGCAAGAGCATCCTTACAGAACTTGCTGTCTGCCAGCCAAGCCAGGCTCAGAGATGACAAGGAGCTTCGGCAGCGGTGAGGAACACATGAGAAAAGAGGGACATATCAGGGGAGACAAGGCTGAGGTAGTTGCCAGTGCCCTTATGCATTGATGCTTGGCTGCTTATCGTGGTTTAGTCAGGCCACCTTCTGGGTTGCATGTTGGTGGGAGGGCTCAGCCTAGAAGACTGAATGCAGCCCCTGATTCTGTGTTTCAGTGCATTCATCTCCCAAGCTTCTGCCAAGATGCACCTTCCTGCTACCATAGGTGAGTCCTGTTTCCCTGTTATGTCAAGCAGAGTAGTTTAGTGGGCCTAGAGAGCAGGACACATGTATTGGATTCTCTTATCTTGGTGGAGAGAAGAAAGAGTGAAGGTGTTAGGATTACCAGCATGTCCCAACATGACCAAGCTCAGCACACAGTTAGCCTTGCCTCAGGTTGTCTCAAGCCTGCTCCCTCAAAGAAGCAGCAGCCTGCTTCTTTGCAACTAGCTACATGGCTCCTGGCACAACAACTTGCTCCTTCTTCCCATAAGATTGTACAGCGAGCACTCTGACCTATCAGGAGAGAGAGTTTTGAGGAAAGCCAGAGGGCCCTGGAGGGTCCATGTATATATCTGGCCAGGCATCTGACTTGATTAAATCAGCAAGTTGTTGTCAGTACTTGATTGCTTGAAGATGAGATGGGGCCATCAGCCTGTGGCTAGACATATCCTTGTATGTCAGCTGTGAGAGGGAACATTTGCTCTTGGCATGGTGGGATGCCTATGATCTGAGAGCTGTACAGTTCTGCCCTGGAAGGATGGGATTCCCTGAAGCAGTTTCTCCATTCTGCTACCAGAGATGCTGGTACCCACTGATAGGTACAAGGTGGGCTGGAGGATGGGCTCATCTCTTGCTTCCCTTTAGGACTGGGCTATGCTTTTACAGTAAACTGGTTGTCTTCTAGGGGTCCTTCATCCTTTCTAGATAACTGATGCTGTGACTTGTTTTACTGTCATGGATGTGACTGTTTTTGTTATAAATACATTCACTCTTACTTCCGTGCATAGGACTGAAGGTGGGAAGTCATGAGTATAGCTCAGCCTGGCCACCCCTTGCTTAGTTGGGTCCCAGACAGTGTTTCCTCTCCATATCTTTCCATCTCCACTTCTAGTCCAACCTGCTGTGATTGGGGTACTCAGCTTTTGGGGTGGTGGTATAAGGCTTAGGAAGATGAGTAAGCAAACTACCCTCAGTGGGTTTTCTAGTAGATTTTAGTAATTCATTCACATATGAGAGGGGGCACCTGCAGTTCATGAACCTTCATGTTCAGCTCATCACAATCAATAGGCACTGATATACAAGTTCAAATACAGAGACAAGATGCCTTGTTCTTGGTGCTGAGAGCCAGTCACATGAAATAAGGGCTGAGTTGGGACTGGCCTGAATGGTGACAGTTTCTTGAAGATCTGCACACATGGGACTGGAGCACAGTGAAGCGCACTCCAAAGAAGGGTTCAGTAGTGGTGCCTTAGATTTGCCAGGATTTCAACCAGCAGAGGAAAGGGAGAAGTAAGGCTAGGAAGCAGGCATATGTTAAGCAAAGGTATGTCAGGGGTTGACCTTGTTTGGGTCACAGCAGTTACATATGGTACAAGTTGGGAGGGAGTGGTAGCAGCCATTTCATACTTAAATTTCATTGTCCGATTCAGAAAGTGTGGGCTAACTTTTTTTCTGAAGGGGTCCTTGAATCTTGAAGGGTGTGAGTCCCTACTCTTGGGACTGGACTTCCTCCATCTAGGTCATTGGCTGTTTTGGGTCTTCCTTCTGCAGGAGACTACACGGACTTCTACTCCTCTCGGCTGCATGCCACTAATGTTGGCATTATGTTCAGGGGCAAGGAGAATGCGCTGATGCCCAATTGGTATGTCCTAGGCCAGATGTTGGGATAAATTCAATATCATCTCTCTCTTTACAGTATGTTTTCCCCAGGAGCTGCAATGACCCTTTTTTGTCAAAGCAGCCTAGGAAAAAAATTAGAACTGATGATGTTACAACTTCTGGAAACAGCCGACCTAGCTTCTGGTTCCCTCAACATGACTTTAGGAGGGCCTGTGGGTAGGTCCCTTCATTCCCCCTCTGGAGAACAGACATGGGATTAGAATCCCAGTGATGCTTGATCTCTAGATCTTTTGGCTGGCAAGCTGCCTATATTCTAACCATGAGTATGCTGGGGAAAAAAAAAAAAATCAGAAATCTAAAATACGTCCAGTCACAAGCAAGTTAGAGGAGGGAGGTTCAACCTGTATTGTCTTTATACTGAAGAATATGTGCACAAGGCAAAGAAAGGGCAGCACTGAGGGCCACCCTGAATCATATCACAAGAGAAGGCCTACTCTGGGAAGGAAATGCAGGCCAAAGGCTGTGGCTCCCCCAGCTCGGTTCACATGGCTAAGGATGCATTTCCCCACCCAGCCTGGCCCCTCCCTTCCTCATTCCTGGTGTTTGGCTAGAGGAGTTCTGGCACCCTGGTGGCAGGCAGCTCCTTTGAGGCTGGACAGTCTGCTGGATAATTTTCTCTGAGGTCATGAGAACAGACAGTTTCTGATTGGCTGGGAATAAACACAACCTGGCACTCTGTGGCTGCAGTCTATCATATCCACCCACCTTAAGCAGGAGCCTGGAAACCTGGCCCAGCCTGCTGTGTCTGCCGAGTCTGACCCTTATTGTCCATTTTCCTGCTGCCACGGACAGTCCTTGTAGCTATCACTCTCACCTGCCTCTGTGTTCACATGGCTGTCTCCTCTTCTGTGTCTTCTGCCTTGTACAAAGGCACTCTGGGATACAGGACTCTCACATGATCCAAGGCCATTAATTACATCTCCCAGGGAGTGGGGTACAGGCAGATCTTTTGGGGGAGCCACCACTCACTGTGGTATAGGCATAAGCTCTTGCTTTTGAGACAACCATTGGTGTTTCTCATATGCTGTCTTCTCACCGCATTATTCTGTGCATCCATCTAAGAGCACCCCCAGCCCCGCCTTGCTTGGTAGTGTTCTGATATTTGGGAAAACTCTTCTTTCCTTTCCATATTCTTGTTTTATAAGTATCTTCCTACGATGTTCCCCAGCCTTGGATAGCTATTTGTTCTGAGTTTTATGATTTATTCCTAGGGTCCCCTTGTATTAGATGTGGACAGGGCCCACAAAGGAATTGGCAGAACTGTGTGGTCAGAAAAACCTGTGTTCTTTATTTTTCCACCTCACTGTATAGCTAGCCCTAGCTGGCCTAGAATCTACTATGTACACCAGGCTACCACAAGCTTGTGGTACTCTTCCTGGCTCTGCCTTATGAGTGCTAGAGCTGCAGGCATGCCCTGCCCTCTTCTGTTCTTAAATCTGGGTAATTTCCCCCTGTGTGATATACCACATTTGTTTTCTCCATCTTTCCATGGACACTTGGGACATGTTTTTAACTTTTGAATAATGAGTGTATACTGACTGTTTCTTTCTGAAGTTTAATTTATACCATGTAACGGCTTTGGCACCCATACCTTCCCACCTTCCTTTGTTAGGCTCCACTTACCTGTGGGATACCATGGCCGGGCTTCCTCCATTGTGGTATCTGGCACCCCAATCCGAAGACCCATGGGACAGATGAGACCTGATAACTGTAAGTGATTCCAGTATCCAGGCTCTGCCAATGCCCAGCTTTGCCCTGTTGCTATGAGCTCAGTAATCTGGTGTTGATGGTTCCTTTCATGTGCTGTCTCTCCAGCAAAGCCTCCTGTGTATGGGGCCTGCAAGCTCCTGGACATGGAGTTGGAAATGGTGAGTTATGTGTAGTTTTATTGAGTGCGATCAACAAAGGCCTGCAGCATGCAAGCTTTCTTTCTGGGAGAGCAGTTCATGCCTGTCCAGCCACAAATAGCAGCCCTGTGAACCCATCTGATCATTGAGTGCAGTTGATGCTTTTTCTTCAGATCTGTGTTTGTGAATTCACCTGCTGGCTAAACTTATTTGCAACTCAAATATTAACACAAGTCATGGTCACACAGAGAAGTGGAAAATTTGAGTCTCCTGATGCACACACTTGTTCCCAGTTGAGGTCACAGCAGGCTCCCTGTCTTCTTGTCACAGTTCTCATTCTATAAACATGTGTTACTTTTCTGGTCTGCTTTTACCCCCACGTTCTTATGTGCTTTGAACTGATTTTGTTATTTATAATGTCCTCCAAGTGAAGGGCCCTTGTACTCTCCTAAGTGCAAGGGGGAAGGTTTCCCTTATAGAGCTATGTGTTGGAAAGCCTCCTTCTTCCCTATGTTGTAGCTATTGATGGGAAATTCAGTGTTGATGAGCCAATACTCTATATGGATATTGTTAACAAAAAGGGGGTAAAATATGGCTAGATCAAATGATTTATTGTTCATTTGGTGAGTGCTGTAGCCAGTGGCTCTTTTCTCCTGGTGGAAGCCCTGTTTTCTGTTCACATTCATGGTGACTTTATGGAGTGTCTCATGAATAACAAGCATCAAATGGCCATATCCACTTCATTACACCTGTGGAAGGGCCTGCACCATTTCAGAAACACGTTTATACCAAGGCTCCTTGTTTTATTTAGATTGAGCATTTTATGAAAGCGCTCAGGACTTACATGCAGTTGTGAGAAATGAGATGGAGATCCCCTGGACTTGAAAGTGGTGCCATGCTTCGTGCCTCGGTGCCCTGGGGTCTTTTGTCTTTTTGTCTTGATGAAAAAAATTTGCATTGTTTAAACCCTGTCACTAAGCTGACCGTGGTTTCATGACTGTAGCTGATTCTGTGCTTTGAAGGCACTCCACTCCCCCCACCCCGTGACATGACTGGATGTTCTATCACACGATGCCATTCATCTGGAGACAGGTTGGACTGTGAGCCACCATGTCAGGTGCTTCGGTATGAGCACACCTGATGCTTGTTTTTCACAAGCATCGCAGAGCTGTCAGATACTAGGTTATGGAGCATTGGGAACAAAGAAAGGAGCAGAGAGGCCTGTGGTACCCTGAGGGTCAGGAAGAAGCTGTCATGGGGCTGGCAGGAAAACAGGTACACATGAGTTCAATTCCTTTCTTAGACGTCCAGTGAATTAATACTGTGTCCTCAGGCAGCCCTGCTTCCTGGTTGGACTTTGGAAATATTTTGCCTTTGCTCTGTAACCCACAGTGACCCAGAGTGACAGGTCATCTGGATTCTAAACAACTTTCCCTATGACAGGCTTTCTTTGTCGGCCCTGGGAACAGATTTGGAGAGCCAATCCCCATATCCAAAGCCCACGAGCACATTTTCGGGATGGTCCTCATGAACGACTGGAGTGGTAATGCCTGGTGGCCCAGCTGGTGGTGTGCTCTGAGGAGCATGCACAGGGTTGGGAATGGGGTAGGAGACCCAAGAAATGCAAGTCTGTGCCACACAGACTTCTGACTCTGAGGATGTAGGCAAGTCACAGCCTCCCTAAGCAGCTTCCTCATATGTGGAAGGATGGTGCTGACAGTGCCTAAGCCTTTGTCAAGCCCCACCTATCCATTCACTATGGCCAGCACCCTCATCCTGTTCTACTGATGAATAGCTGTGTATGGAGGGATTTTAGCCAGTGACTGAGCTGAGACTTAAAGTACAGAAACCTATCAGAGTCCCAGTTTTGTACCCTGACACCATGTGTAAAAGGACATGGGCTCACACATCCCAGGAGAGGGCCTCCCCCTATTCAGGGATTATCCTGTTACTCTTTGTTGTAGCCTGGCACAAGGGCCTCTGTCTTCACACTGAACACCCTTCTTTTCATTCCCTGGAGGTCTGGCTTGCCAGAGCTCTGTAGAGAGGTCCATGTAGGTCAAGGGTAGGAAGCAGCTCGGAGTGAGCCTGTAAACCATTATGAGTCCTAAGCTTGTTCTTCTCCCATAGCACGAGACATCCAGCAGTGGGAATACGTTCCCCTTGGGCCATTTCTGGGGAAGAGCTTTGGAACCACCATCTCCCCATGGGTGGTACCTATGGATGCCCTCATGCCCTTTGTGGTGTCCAACCCAGAGCAGGTAAGCACCCCTCTGCTGAAAGTTCCTGCTTCTACCCTTTCCTGCTGCCCTCTGAGCAAATAGAGACAGTGGCCAGGCAGCTGTGGCTCCAGGGATTTCTCTCCCTCTAACACAGAGGGGAAAGCATAATTTTCTTGCCTTCAGCAAGAGTTCAGGGAACTGCCTGGTAAAACCCTAACTGCACAGGCCACACAGCTGCCCCATTGTACAATTTTGGTTTGTGTAATGGCTCCCTCTGGAGTCTAATTTGTAGAATGCATTTGGAATAGAGGGTATAGGGAAAAGAGCATTGTCTCTGCAACACTTCCCAGCTCCCTTGCCCAGTACTGGGCTAGTGGCCCTCACTCTTACTCCCTAGTTTGTCACGATATGCTATGTCCCATCCCTTCAGTGCAGTCATTCTGCCTTTATGGCCTTTATGGCCAACATCTTGCAGGCCCTAATTTTCATAGACGTTTGTTCTCTCAGATGTGGCTCTATCAAATGGCCTATCTGGTCCTCCCGTGTCTGTCTCTGGATCCTCTTCTCTTCCAGAGGGTTCTGCTCAGGACTCTCTACTTACACTCTCCCAGATATTGTCTCAACAGCTGTGTACTGCTGCATTTCTCCCTACTCATCCATGCAATTTTATGCTTGAACAACCTTGGGGACTTCCCCTGCAAGTTGATCCTTCATAAACATCCCTGCAACACTTTCACTCCATCTCCTTGGATCTTCTGTAGCTTTCCCCATCATAGCACCCTCCTCTCCCATCTACTGGTCTCCCTCCCCTTTGTCTGTCTCCCTCCACCTCCACCCACCTTTTCTGCCCTCACAGGACCTATTGGGCCACTGCCTTCAATGACCCACATCTTCCCTTATCATCCTTCCTCCAGGTCTGTCTGGACCCCAGCTGCCTTTGTCCTTCCCAAGTACATTTACGTACAGCTATCACTACTCTTGTCCCTTCCCAACTAATCAGCATTATTTCCCTCTAAAGTAGCTTCAGGCTTCACCCTTCATGCACTGGGAAGGAGCTGCATTCTCCCCTAGCATCACTAGTCACACTGTTGCCATTAGAAGCACACAGCTGTTCAGATCACCCAGAGTGACCTTATGTCCTGCAATGATTTTTGTATTGTATTTTGGGGAATTGCTCTCCTCCTCCCATCTCTGCTTGGCCATCAGCTGCCTCTTCAAGTGTTCCAGCACCAAATAGGGTTGCAGACTTATGTTTCCAGGCACCCTGCCTTTCAGGGCTCCTGCCTGACCCTCCCTATTGTCCTAGATTTTCCATATAGGTTCTTTAGACCATCTTGCCTCCCATGGTCCCCTTCTCAAACCTGTCCTCCCCCAGCTTCCTGCACATTGCTCCTTTGGCCCTGAGACCTCTAACTTGCGTGTGCCCCATCTTCAGCTTATTTTCTCAAATCTAGCACCCGTGACTTCCTGATTCTTACTCCCCAACCATGGACAGTGTGCAGGCACTGCAACTCTGGAGAAGAAACGCTGCTGCCATGCCTGTGCTGGAGAGCAGAGGCTGCTGGGAACTCAGCCCTTCTGATAGCCACCTCTCTGATATGCTCTTCCCTCTAGGACCCCAAGCCCTTGCCATATCTCTGCCACAAGCAGCCGTACACATTTGATATCAACCTGTCTGTTGCCTTGAAAGGTATGCTGCAGAGTGGGTGGTGTTGTCCATGCTCAGCAGACAGGCATGGGCAGGTGCCATTGTCCCAGGGGAGCCTGAGCTTTGGCTAGCTGATTCTAGAGGCACTTGCTCCAGTCTAGAACCTGTGTGGGGCTCTTGTAAAAAGAAGAATGTGAGGGCAATCCTCCACTTGGAGGTATTGTCCTACATGGAAGCCTGACCCTCCACTCTGTTTGAGTCTGCTCTTCCAGCCAAGGTCTACCTAGGCTCTGCTCACATCCATCACTTCCAGCCACCTTACACTGCACCTCAGATGTGTGGTGCATTTCATCAAGTGCCTATTTGGAAGCCTCATCTCAGAGGCTCATGGGACTGTGAGAAGCACTGAGCTGCAGATTGAATAGTCCAGAGATCCATGCTGATGGCCTACCTCCACCGAGTCTTGCCACAGACTGAGCTGTGGTGTGGGGTGTTGGCTCTACAGGCCAAGCTGTGGTGTGAGAAGCCTGCTATGTAGCCATGATGGAGGTCCAGTCTCAACTCTACTCTTATCCAACTTTGGGGCTTGGGCGAGTTACCAAGTAATGCCCTAGTTTGTCATCTGTGAAAGGAGAATTATAGCATTGGTTTTTATTATACAATGGTCATGACTAAGGAAACTGATCCATAGACCTAGAATAGAACCTGTAAATAGAAAGGGGCAGGTGTCATCTTCATGTTCAGGGTGGAAGAGAGCTTGCTTGGGGGACACATTTAGAGACATTTACTTCCCCAGGGCCAAACTCTAGCTGGCTCCTTGTTCCCTCAATTTCCTCCTTTTGTTTGTGATTACATACAGAGTATGCTGTGTCCTTATGGCCACTTCCTGGGTTTCAGCTTTCATGAGTGACAGGAGACTTCCTTCCTTCCTTCCTTCCTTCCTTCTTTCCTTCCTTTCTTTTTTAAACAATGTATTTAAAATTTATTTTATATGCACTGGTGCGAAGGTTTCAGATCCCCTGGAACTGGAGTTACAAATAGTTGTGAGCTGCTATGTGGGTGGTGGAAATTGAATCCACTTCCTCTGGAAGAGCAGCTTAACTGCTCTTAACTGATGATCCATCTCTCTAGCTCAGAGTCAGTTTTTTAAGGATCAAGTAGGATCTAAGAGGCATGGCAGCACCCCCTGGGAAACTGCTGGTCCTATCCTTTCATGTTTCAAGTCAGGAAACTGAGGCTCAGAGAGGAAGATTACCCTGAGTTGTGGGGCTTCCTAGGGCCAAGCTGGAGCAAGTGCCAGGGTTGTAAATTCCAAGCTAGTGCTTTCACTCACAGACACATCCTTGCAAGGCCTTCCTATCTTGCTCTTGTTCTGGGCTTTTCCCTGTTGGCAAAGGGCACTGAAGTGGCGGGACAGGATAGGAGTGAAATCATAGCATCTGGACATACAGAGCTCAACTCAGTTTTGAGGTTCCAAGCTGACATCAGAATAACAGGGTTGGGAAGCAGTAATGTGGGCACGCTGACCTCCTGTGGGACTTCAGAGCACACACCTCCTGTTGTAGAGGGGTAAGAAGCACAAGGGAAGGGCTGGGTTTTGAGGGTGGGAACATATGGCAGCACTAGCCGATCCCTGGCATGCAATAAGTGCTTAGTAAGGACTTCTGGCATTAATGGTGAGCGACTTCACTATCTGTCATTATAGAGTATCCAGAGAGTAGCAGGCTATGCTTGATCAAGGTCACATATAGGTTTCAGCCTATATTGTCTTTGGTTGCCTGATAGATATTAGGAGCACTGTAGGAAGAGGTACTCTAAAGCCATGTTTAGACTCAGCGGCACACATGCATCTGTCAGTGGTACTTGCTATGGGTGTGGGAGAAGAAACTGATAGCTTAGGTGAAGGTATTTGCCATTCCCAGACTAGATGGCCATAGTGGGTATATCCCAGCTCTGATACCCTCTAAGCTTATTGTTCCACAGACTAAGTGAAATTATAGCAGACAAGTGAAAGCAATTTGAAGGTTTCCTTTCTGATCAGTGGGAATACATCTTCACAAGTCTCACTTCTCAATTTCTGGCAGGAGAAGGAATGAGCCAGGCGGCTACCATCTGCAGGTCCAACTTTAAGGTGAGTTTGAAGGCCAGTAGACTGCTTGGTGAAAGGGAAGAAATTAACAGGAACAGGAGAGTAGTATCCACCTAGATGACTGGTTAACCTGAGGGCGGGGAGTCTCCATGATCCTGTTCCTTTCTAGACCTGCACGACATCACAGATTCCTGTCAACATGGAGGCTTCTACATAGATGTGACCAAAGTTTTCTGGGCACATTTCACATCCTGGAAGGGCCAGCCTCTGGATCCCATGTCCTCACAGATTGGAGTGATAAAAGTGCTGTGTGTGCTCACATGTGAGATTGACAGGTGGGGAGTGTCTTCCTTAGCCACTCTCCATTTTATTTTTGAGACAAGGTCTCTCCTTGAAGCTGGAGCTCACTGACTGGCTAGGCCAGCTGGCCAGTAACCTCAGAGATCCTTCTGCCTCTCCCTCCTTGGTGCTGAGAATACAAGTGCACCCTGCAGCCAGATTTTTATGTGGGCCACGGGGACTCAGTCAAACTTGGGTCCTCATGGCTGTGTAGCAAGCTTTACCAACTGAGACATCTCAGCAGCCCATTTACTTTATAATCAAACCTTTTAAAAAGTATTATTTTTAAAATTGTGTGTGCATGTTTTTGGGGGTTTTTTGAAACAACAGCACACACATATACAGATACAGTACAGATACAGAAATGCTAAAATTGAAAGTGTGGAAACTGAGGAGATTTCACAAAACAAGCATCCCTGTGTGTCTGGCACCCATGTCAAAAAGGGGAATTCCCCACCCTCAGCAGCCAGTTGCCTTTTTACAGCTACTCCATCACTTCCCCAAGGCAGGCCACATCTCCTTGCTTCTCTTGCCATAGAGACTTTGCTTACAGTAGGAACTTGTTTGTCTCATTGCTATAAAAGGTGCAGTTGTGCCAGCTGCACAGTGGCTGATGGGCATTTGGTTGCTTCTGTGTTTTGGTCACCCTTGAATTGCTGTCAGCATTCTAGTACACATCTCTTGGAGTACACGTGTGCACATTTCTGTAGGGTACATATCCAGGAATAGAAGTGCTGGGTTATAACACAAACATACACACTCACACTCAAAAACACACACACTAAAAAAGCAGAGTGCATAACTAGGAATACTTTTGAATATCTTTCCAAAAACGTTCCAGCTCCATTAACCTAATCAAGAGAATCCCTCACAGGTGTGTCCATAGGCCAGCTGAATCTGGACAATCCTTCGAAGTTGTTTCTGCCCCACTTGGTTCTAGAATACATCAAGTTGGCAACTGAGATTAGCCATCGCATGAACACTCTCAGTACAGCCGTCTAAGAAATTCTGCTACTTCGTGTATGAACATGTAGTGTTTTCCTTTCAGCTCAGCCATTCAGGGAATTGTGTATTTCCGTGACAACTAACCCAGCTTGGCACCTCTTCATGTGCTCTTTGGCTACTTAAAGACTCTATGAATAGATGCATTTGTTTTGTATGACTTTCCTTCTAGTTAGAAGAACTAAGGAATGTGAGGAGGAATGGAGGGAAGGATCCACTTCTGAGGGATCTATTGCCTACCTGAATGGCTGTAGAAAGGACATGCAGAAAGCTATGCCATTGTGGAGGCTTGGACATGCATGACCTCTGAGTGTTTCAGGCACAGGAGCCCAGACCTCACGTCCCACCTTCTCATTATCATCCTTCTCTGACACTCTGTTAAAATCATTTCATCTCCAGGGCCGGCGTCAGTTCCAAGTCTTGGGGGATGGTCATCCAGGCCTTGGAACTGTAGGAAGGACAGTCTACCAGGCTCTAGGAACTTCCAGGCCTGAGGTGGTCATAAACACATAGGCATGAGCAGAAAGAAATGTTGAGAAGGCCCAGCTTTCAGACATCTTGGAAAAGGTGTTTTGGGAGAGACGAGGTTCCAAGGGAAGTGAGGTTAGAACTGGTGGACAAGGTGGGTCAGAACCTTAGCAGGTGGGCAGCAGATCATCTGTAGAGAGACTAGAGGAAGGCGAAATCTCAACTGAAACTAGACAGGTATAAATTATAAGTATGCATAGAATGTGGAGGGCAGGGAAGGCATAAAGCAAGTGGACTACATCCTGCGCAGAAAGCAGTATGCCCACACATGTCCTTCTGTGTCCCTGCCCCCAGCATATGTACTGGACCATGCTGCAGCAACTCACACACCACTCTGTTAATGGATGCAATCTGAAACCTGGAGACCTCTTGGCTTCTGGAACCATCAGTGGATCAGTGAGTCTCAAACTACCCATGTGGGTCACCAAACCAAAGATAAGCAAATTGAGCAGGTTGGGGGTAAAATACTTCCCTACTACACAATGACCAAGAAAGACCTGTGTGAGAACCAGAGCTTGACTCTGTCTCTCCAGAAAGCAGGAGCCACTCTATCTAACCTTCTTTTCCTCCTAGGAGGTGACCTCACAGCTGCGTCCTTCTTATCTACCCCTGAACAACCATGAGCCTAGAGAGAGGGGTGGTGAATAGGTTGGGTTCACTCCATGTAATCCTGGCCATGGTGACTGGGAGGTGACAGTCTCTTGACAGTGGGATAGTGTTGGACATGACACTGTCTAGGGTTGTGAGCTGCAGGCTATGGAATGAAAACGCACACAGAATCAGGCCCTTGGGCACACCGTGGGCACAGGACCCTTAATAGACACCATGCTCACAGGAAAGATAAAGGCACACCCTGTTGAGCCACCAGGACATATCCACAGGGGCCTCAAAAGTTTTATGGTCCCCCGTGTCTCACTGTAATGTCCACACTAGAGCTGGCCTTTCATATCACCAAGATATAAATACATGTCACTTCCCCCTTTTCTCTTATAAAGGAACCTGGAAGCTTTGGCTCTATGCTGGAACTGTCCTGGAGGGGAACAAAGGCCATCGATCTGGGTCAGGGGCAGACCAGGACCTTCTTGCAGGATGGCGATGAAGTCATCATAACAGGTGTGAACCACCAAGCCCCACAGGCCAAGAGTACCCATCTGGAGATAGAGCCATCTCTCTTCCTTGCACTTACTGGCATTTGTGGATTCTGTGTTTGCATGTTATGCCCTGGGCTACAGCCTGAGGACTTTGTGTGTTAGTATTCACACAGGAAACACTATGAGAGTCCATTTTGCATCCCTTCCTCCAGCAATTGCCCAGTCATGATGGGGCCCTTGCTTTCTAGACTATGTCCCAGATCATGGGCAGGAGCTGATCTGGAACTGGGGTATGATAGTACCTTATGTTCTCAGCAGCCCTTTTCCAGGAGGAGCCATTCTGTGCTCCACATATTTATTAAATTAAGGAAGGCATGATCATGGTTAGAGAACCACTTCCTGAAGTCATAAACACCCCAGTGACCTCTCAGGGACTCACCAGCAGTGTGACCATTGAGGAAATCAGTGTTCTGAGACTTGACTGGCTTCATCTTTACAATTTGATGACAGAGCTATAGGACTATGCCAACAGCTTTGCTCTTGGTAAAAGTGCACTTTTACCCTGGAAGGTATCCTGGGACTCCAGAGATGAGGAGTAGCTCACACTACAGTGGCTCACATTGGTTCACACTGTAGCATCATTCATACACACAGGTTGGCACTTCGTGGAGGCCTTGCAGACAGTGAATAAGGAAGTCTGGTTTCCCCTCCAGGCAACTTATCTGTACAGTCCCAATTCTTTTCATTTGGGGATTTTTAAAGCATGATCCAGATCCAGATCTTGTTCTCTGCTGTTTCACACAACTGTTTCTAGAGAGCCAAGTATCTTGACCTTTCTTAATGGAGCCCTCTCTGAAGGACATTCTTCTATGGGGCCTATAACCATCTCCTACATTCCACCTGTCCTGCTCTCAGCCCACCAGCCACTCATTTCCTTTTGTGTCTTCTGCTCTCCCATACATACTTCCTTGATGCTGCCCTAGTACCAACAGTCTGTTCTGTGGACTAGACTTGGACCCATTTCCTCATCATAGTCCACTGAATGTCTTTTTAAGATGCCCTGTCCTGTCTGTGCTGTTGATATGCTCTAGATAGCTCGCTGGTCCACAGCTGGAACCCTCACAAAGCTTCTCCAGTGGATCTATTAGTCAGTCCTTCTCATTGGGTCCTCCCGTTGGCCCCACAATGATCCTATTCTGCCTAAGATCCTCTCATGGTACCTATCTGTCACCTCATACACTCTGTCACCACTTTGTACGTGATTCATTGTGGCTCATTCAGCTTCCTTCTACTACAGACCCTCAGCTATCATAGCATCACTTTTCTTAGAGCCTGTGGATCCTCACCTCAGCCTGGCACAGCCTTGTTCAGCCTTCCCAGCCTCTAAAGTAGTCACCTCTGTCCTCTGCCAGCAGCTCACTTAGTGTCATTCAAGTCAGCAGCATGCCTGTCAGCTCCCATACATAGCTGAGGGCTCAGATTCATTTCCTGTGAGGTGATAACAGCTCATGAGTTTGATGGTCTTCTCTTACAGTTCTAGAAGGCAGAAATCTGCCATGCATCCTCCCAGATGCTGGAAGAAAGGCCTATTTTGGCTTTCCAGCTGTAGTGCAACCAGCAGAGCTCCAGTCCCCATTCCCTTCTTAAGCCTCCCTCCTTGTCTCATATGACGTACTTGTGTTGGTTTTAGGACCCACCCAAATAGCCTTATTTGAAGATTGTTTCTTTTTTCTTTTTTCCTGAGACAGGGTTTCTCTGTATTGTTTTGGAGGCTGTCCTGGAACTTGCTCTGTAGACCAGGCTGGCCTCGAACTCACAGAGATCCACCTGCCTCCGCCTCCAGAGTGCTGGGACTAAAGGCGTGCACCACCAATGCCCGGCTTGAAGATTGTTTCTATAACCTCACCTGAAAGCCTTTACTCTGTGAGGTAGGTTTTTAGGTTCCAGTGTGAGATCTGATGTCTTTGGAGTCTGCAGCTCAATCTGAAGTACATAGAGACTGGCTAGGCACACCATTTAGTGAGCTGAACCAAGGAGAAGGGTACCGAGATCATGACAGCAAGTGATACCCCAGGATTGGTCACTACCCACTTTGCCTTCACTGATCCTAATACTTGCTAATTATACAGTGCCTCGTGGTCTCTATGCTTCAGTGTCCATGTATTCAACCAGTTAGAGGGAAATATGAGGATAGGTTGTGTCTGTACTGAAAATATCAGTTTTCTTGTCATTATTCCCTAAGCCATGCAGCGTAACTCTTGACAACACATTTGCATTGTCTTAGGCATTGTAAGCCACCCCTAGATGATTTGAAGTGTAGGGACCATGTGTGTAGGTCATATGCAAACTATTTAGGAGCTTAACCCTGGCCAACTGTCTGCCGAGCCCAGCTGTGTTGGAGGTATGTCTAATTACCATGGTTTCATTTTTTTACTCCCCCAAGCCTTTCGGAAATGTGTCATTGCCCCAGTTTTGCAAAGTCAAAAACCTAGGAGAGTATAAGGGAGGTGAATCATGGCAGATGACACAGATGGCAAAGTCAGGATACAGTTCCTGTTGTGAGCTGCTCTCTCCGAAGCTAGACCTCCTCATGTCAAGCAAGTACTCCAACTGCTGTATGCTAGTTTTGTGTCTGATACTGCTCCAGTTCTGGCCAGCCTACCCCAGGCTCTTGCTGTGGTCCTATGGGTTGGGTTAAATCACTTTTTGAAGTGCAGATGTGGGAAAGACAGGAGAGAGAGAAAAAGTGACATTGACTCTCTGATGCCATTATGACAGAGCCTGAATAAGCCGCCTCTAGCAATGCAGTCTTGTCTAGGCAGCTGTCAGGCCTGAGAAGAAAAAGGGCCTTGAGGCTGAGGCAGACAGCCCCATGATGTCCTTGATGTTTGTACCACACAGTGCATGGAGAGTCCTTTTCTATGTGGCTGTGAGAAGCAAGATCCACAGGCGCCCTGGTTCGTTCTGCCTTGCCCATGAGGCATTCGGCACCAGGGCCTGTATGTTGCCTCCCAGCTTGACACACTGGTTCTCTTTGCCTCTTTCCTACTGGCTTCCTCTTACTTTCCTTTATCTTGTCATTTCCCTGCTTTCTGCTTTCTTGATGAGGAGACAAGTCCCCATGTCACTCCTTGATGACTGAGTATGTGGTAGCTTCTCATGTACTCCATATGATACTCGTACAAGGTGCCCATGGGTACCCAGTCCTCATCCTTCATATATAGAGACTACAATTGAAATCTGCATCCTTACTCAGGGTCGCACAGATGCATACAAGCAGGGCCAGGATTTGAACCTGGGCCCCTGACCCAGTATGCCCTCTGCAGGGAGCCACATAGGAGAGGAAAGTAACCAAACACCATCCATTTGAGCAAGTGGCTTCAGGCATCAGTCCCCAGCCTTGCATTCTGCTTTGGACCTCAAGGGATCTGTCCCTGGAGACTGGCACTTCTCTGCCCACTGCCCACACAGTTAGTTGAGACCTCTGCTTTGGCATCTGAAACATTTGACACAAACTTGTTTCCTTTCCTACAATCATGTGATAGTGAGGCCTCTCACACATGCCTCTGTGTCTGTCATTCTTCATCACAAAGATCTGCTGCCCATCTGGTCCAGGGAATCATTGGGCTTCTTGGCCTCCTGTCTTTTCAGTAGTGTGCTTGAGTTTTCTTCCAAGGGCTGCTGGGATCACATTTCTCTCCAATTTTTTTTTTTTCCTCTCACATTGAGTAGCAGGAGGCACAGTTCCAGGAAGGGGACCAATCTCCAGGTTGGGGCTGTAGTGGGTGTTCATTCCGCCCATGACCTTGGGCTATCTGGTCTGATAGAGGCAGTGTTTCCCAGGGTATTTTGCTCTCTTGGGTGGGAAAGACCAGGTCAGGCAGGGTGAAGCAGCGTGTGATTGGTCCACAGCTTTCCAAAGACTCTGCAACTGGATTTACTATATCCTGTATTTGTGAGTGTATTTTCCCCTTTTCATATCTTAATAAATCCTGGATACCCCTTAAACACATGCACATGGATTTCTCACTACAGTGGGGGTGTGCAGTGAGTTAAATGAAAGGCAAAGCCATGGGTTGGCTTCCACCCTGAGTAATCCCACCTTGGTCTTTATGCTGCCCCAGTCTACACCCTTAGAGGCAACTCAGTCCAGGAAGTCTGCAGCTCTGTGGCTAATACTGCCCTACTGTGTTTCAGGTCACTGCCAGGGGAATGGCTTCCGAGTTGGTTTTGGCCAGTGTGCAGGGAAAGTGCTGCCTGCCCTTTCACCAGCCTAAGGCTTCAGAAACCACAAGCCACAGCCTTGCCTGCCCCGGACCATGCTACGGTTGCCCTTCACTCCGGAATGAATAAAGCCATATTGCTTGTGGGAAATGTCACAGAGTTGTCTGTCCTTGGTTTTGTCCAGTTGGTCAGTGTTTGCTGTTCCCATGGAAGCAGTCATTAGTTCATTTCTTCCAGGTGTGAGGCTGAAGGCCCTGATGGGGTTCTTTATCAGATGCCTCAGGCCTTCAACACCTCTTGAAATGTGGGGAGAGGACGGGTCTTGAAGTATTAAGCACTCCCCAGAGAGATACAACCACTGTGTGTGCATGTGTATATGTATACATGCATACGTGTACGTGGAGAGAAGCACATGAGCGCGTGCGCGTGCACACACACGTGCGCGCACACACACGTGCACACACACACGTGCACACACACACACACACACACACACACACACACACACGGGGGGGGGTGGTCTATTACAGAGACTTAAAGCTCCAAATCTGTAGTGCAGGCTATCTGGCAAAACTTTTCCCCTGTGGCTGTCAACATGTAACTGTCCTAGGTGCACACCTAAGGCAAGGATGGGATGAGCATCTTGGTGTTCACCTTTCTCCTTCATACCCATTGGAGCCCAGAAGCAACCCTGCCTGAGGTCCTCTGTCCCCACTCAGTAGCCCTGGCCCAGTTTCAGAGTGACAAAAGAGGACAAGATATGATATGACTCTTCTTGGGCTAGATGAATGAGAATTCAGGCATGCTAATAATTCCATTCATTATTCATTCATAAGCTTTGTAAGTCTCTGACCTTCCTGAATCTCATGAGTTCCTAAGCTCCTTGTTTTGTTTGTTTGCCTCATAATTCTCACTCCTCCCTTCTTTCTGGAGGAAATAGTTACACAGCACTCCATAGCTTCCTCCAGCTTTCCCCTCCCTCTGAAATGTTCCTTGGGCCTTAGAGAAGATGATGTAGATGTCTTCTTATTTTCTTCCATTTATATTTTAGAATTGGGTCACTGCGTCACAGTAACAGTCACTGATTCTCCAGTTTGATCCCTCATGAAGTTCCATAATAACACTTGTCGTCCACTACAAAAAGAAGTTTCCCTCTGTGATATAAGCTGGTAGTTGCAGTAATCTAAGGATATATGCACAAATGTTTAGAATATAATTTAGTAAGCACATATTTCTGTTTAACAAACAATAGCAGTCACCTCCCCAACTGCTTGGATTTGCCCTGGCTTTCAGTTTCAAACATAGGTTCCCTCTTGTAGAATAGTCCTTAAATCTTTCAGAATATGGTTGATTGCCTTTATAATAGTCATTTCACTATGGTACCAGTAGGCACATCTTGCCTGACATGTTGATAGCATGGTATACTAGGTACTAGGTCAATAACCAAGAAGGACTATCAGTGAAAAATTTCCCTCTGAAGCTTGTATAGCATTTTCCTGCTCTACAAAACCCACTCATAAAGGGAGCCTCCAGGTCAGTCTCAGCTTGATTTCTCTAGGGTCTTTAGCCAAAGCGTGTGGTGGTGTTGTTTTGTTTTGTTTTGTTTTTTCCCTGGCTTTTCAAAGCAGGACTTCTCTGTAGCTTTGGAGCCTGTCCTGGAACTCTCATTGTAAACCAGGCTGGCCTTGAACTCACAGAGCTCCACCTGCCTCTGTCTCCCGAGTGCTGGGATTAAAGGTGTGAACCACCACCACCAGGCATGGTGTGGTGCTTTCAACATCTACTTTCAGCGTGTAATCTACAGCAGAGGCAATAAATAGATGTTATGTGTTATAGTGCCCTAGTCACCGTTCTGGCCAGCAACTTGAAGGGAGTACAGAAGTTACAGCCTTCCTCTCAGGGGACACTTGGTTTCTCCATCTGCCTTGCCTCCCACCCGCAGGAACAACTAGCAGTATGAAATGGACTTTGGAAGGCTTGGTTTCAATGACTGAGACGTTGAAAAAAAGCATTATCTACCTCTTTTATATTTTATTTATTTTTTTAAAATTGATACACAAATTGTACATATTTATAGCATATCATAGGATGTTTTGATATGTGTGTATACTGTGCAGAGCCAAGTCCAGGTAACCCCATAGGTCCCCTCAAACATTACTTCTTTGTAGTAAAAGCATTCAAAACCCTTTCTGCCTGCACTTTTGAATCTGCAGCACTGTAACACAACAGAACCCATTTCTTTGACGCATAGGACGCAGTGACTGGACCCCCTGTTCCCCCTCCTAGGTCTCTGGTAACCACCATCCTCCTCTCAGCTTCGGGGGAACAAGGCTTTTTGACTCCATATTTGACATCATGAGGACTTGTTTTTCTGTGCTTGTCTCATTTCACAAAATGACCCCCAGTTCCATCCTTGTCCCCATGACAAGACTTTGTCCTTTCTATAGATGAATCAGATTCCACTGTGCTTAGGTACCACACTTTCTTCATCCACTCATCCACTGATGGATATTTATACACTCTCCAGTTCTTGGATCTTGAGAATGATGCTGCAATCAACATGGGAGTGTAGTCCTTTGAAATCCTGGTTTCATTTTTCCTTTAGATAGACCCCTAATGTGGGATCATATAGCATGTCTAGTTTTAATTTTGTGAGGAACCTCCATGGTGTTTTTATCATGGCTGTGTTAACATTTCTTCCAGATAATGATGTGTGACTCATGAAATTGAGTGTTCCACACTTACAATAACCATAGATGTTCTGGGCAGGAATCTGGTGACTCACAATAAATGCTTCTACTCGTGAGCATGATGAATTGGAGTCTGATGAATTGGAAGATAGATTTGTGCCATGTGGGGTTTATTAGGGGAACTAGTTTACAGAAAAGGAGATTGCTGCACTGTCGGGCAGTTTTTCCCATACCCTAGAAGCCATAGGATTACTGATAACCCGCTGGGGAAAAGGAGACTCACTCTAAGCCCAAGGGTTCAGTGGGACACTTGGCACATCTGGTGCCATGTGTCCACCCTGGAAGTCTAGGGTTCAAATTCCTTATTAATTCTGAGGGGGCTCCAATGCTTTTTGTCTTGGGACTACAGCACCAGGAACTCCTGTGGACCTCTTCTGGGAGTTCTAATGTGCTTCCATCTAGACTTGCAAAGCCTCTTCCTAAGTTCTTTGGGCATGTGTTAACTCATTAAAAACAAGACAAAAATTTGTCTCCTCTCTGAACGAGGTAAAATGCCCCCACAGCTGAGGGTCTATGCAGGGGATGTGGTGGTGGGGAGACCAAGACTGCAGTCCATTCTAGGCCTCATGACCACTACAGGGAGGTTTTGCTAGCCCCTCTCTGCCTTACGTAGTTGGCTACATTCCAGTGTAAGGTCTGCCTGAAAGTGGGGCAAAATTGACATTATCTGGGGCAATATGATGTCCTCAGGACTGTTTCCTTAGGGTTAGTGTTTGCTTCCCCAACTTAGCAGAGTTCATGATGGATACTTGGTGTTGCTTGGTTATTTGTTAGATACTCCAGTGTGCTGACATACATAGATCCTATTACTCAGCAAACCCACCCTTTTGTGTCTATTATTTTTGGTCATTGGGAGACTGAAAAAGGAAGCAAAAGGTATCTCCAACTCTCGTCCTACTGACCTGGAATTGTACAAGGACCTTTTTTTCTGGTCTTGGGGATTAGGGATTGAACCCAGGATCTCAAGCATCTTAGGCAGATGCCCTGCTACTGAGCTATAGTCCAACCCTAGGCAAGAGTATTGGATGTACCTGTGGCACAGCTCCTTTTGCCTGACTCCACCATGCAGCAACCCCTGCTGGAATCTAGTTGTCCTTCCTTGTCTCTTCAGGCCTAAATAAGTCTGATGTCTCATTGAGGGCTGTCCTTGGTAGCTGGCATTCTATTTCCTGAACTCCACCCAACCTATGTGAATGTACTTTCTTTAACTCTATTAATATTTCAAGTGCACCTCTCCCTCCTGCTAGCCACTGACAGTTACAGAGAGCCATCCCGGGGCGGGGGGAGGGGAAGGACAGTCTTAGTAGATGACTGTCAAGGACTTATGGAGTCAGCGCAGATGGGCAGAAGCAAGTATGATTGAGACTCTCTGTGTCTATTCCAAAACTGCTGTGAGAAACTCAATGTGATCACTTCTCAGTAGACTGGGCCATAAGCTACAGAGATTATTATCAATATTATCCATTCTATATGGCAGGACCAGTTCTCAACAGCAATGCCATGGGACAGGGACCCATTCTTGTGGACAAAAGGCTTCACAATTGTTTCCACTTGGTGCTCAAAAGCAGGACTGGCCTCTTTTGGAAACCTCTGGGGTTCTGGGGCAATTTTGTGGGGGTGGAGAGCCACTTGTTGTTCATCCAGCAAGGATATATGGGACTAAGGGCAAATATCAATGACAGAATGCTGGCCTCACATGTAAAAGGCCATGAGTTCCATACCCAACAATGTGATCACTCCATCAAAACAAGACAAAATATGGACAATGAAAAAGGAAAATGGCTGTGATGGCCATTTATGTGCCACAATGGGGCAGCTGGGTCCCAACCAGTCTCTGAGAATTCCAGGGACCACTTTTCTTCTGGTGGCTATCATCTGGCTTTTCTCTTTCTAATTATTTTTATTGCCCTCCCTCTCTGTGGCCTACCACACAGAGGGACCCTCTGTTGCAGTTACACAGGCATGAAAGGACTGACTGTGCACCCACCTTTGCTGAGAGCTTGAGGTAACACACAAGGGCTTCCACACAGCACACCACTGGCAGCAACTTGAACCCAGTTACCAGATGCCTTTGTCTGGAGACTTTGTCATCCATTCTCTGCCAGAGAGAGTTTGCCTCTCTAGCTATCTTTTTCCCCAGCCTCTCTTCATTTCCTCTCTGCCAACTTCCAGTCTTCAGCATTAATATTTTGCCACAGTGTTTCCTCCTCTATGCACAACTACAGGATTTCTCTCAGCCAGCAGGAACTTAGGAGGATGTTCTAGTCTCTAGGGGACCACTTCCTCCATCCTTCAGAGCAGACAGCACAAGAGAAGGAAAACTTGAAATTCTTCCACCCTTCTCACCTCTCATCATCAAGT